GCGTTCTTCTTATCGATTCATGGACTGGACATTGCCCTAATATCATTTCGGATTTAACACCTCCAGGAAAGCATATTACTACTATGATAATACCGAAAGGCACTACAGGGAAAATACAACCATTAGATGTTTATGGATTTAGAATTTGAAAAAATTTTACTAAAAGATCTTCAAATACTGTTTTACTATTGGAAAGTAATATAAATTTGCATGAACGAAATAATATAATAAAATTACAATCTTTAATACATAATCAATTGTCATCCCCACGATATCACAACTTATTTAAATATTCATGGTTTAAGAGTGGTTAGACGAACGAAAGACCAGAAGAATTTGAAAATCCAGTACAATTTAGTTTTGACGAAACTTCAACAACATGTGATATCGAAGATTGCAATAATATAGCTGTAGTAAGATGTTCTTGGTGCAAGAAGTCATTATAATTGAAACATTTTTTCGTCAAATATCATTATTGTGTTATGCCTCGGGTGAGGCACGGTAAATTTCGGGGTCGTTGCCGGATTAAGATTAAGGAATCTGGGATGCGTCTGGCGGGTTACCCGTAGCACTGAACACTTTATGTTAAATAAAACTTTTATTCATTACAAATGGTCTTAGTTATAATTCGTCCTCGTATTTATTATCTACTCGTGTCGCGTATCGTGTCAACTGACACTCGCGTGCGCGTGTTTGGAGTCGGGTTTACGTCGCGAGACTTGCTTCTCGATCTCCACAATTTTTACTATAAGTGTGACTACTCGATATTACAATAATTATCGACACTCGCTGTTGACACTTGCGACTGTTAGCGCTACTACCCGCGTAATATTAATTAAGGATAAAGACTGCCCGCCGATCGTTAGCGATGGGTCTTTTTATTATCTCCCCTTGGTTTCCCAGGAGGGGATCGGTTAGCGACAAGACCATGTGTCGTGTCGCTCGATTTTTGCGGCAAGATCCGGATGCAAGCTAAGGAGTTCTAAGTAGGACTTCTTTGCTTGCATTTTCGCAATTTCCTTTTTGCTTTTAAGTAGGACCTCTACGTTGCATTTTCGCAACGTCCTTATTCCGCTTGCCTTGGTTTCCGCGTTTTCGTAATGAGTGATTGCGCGGTTGCCCGGGCTTCGCGCGTGGCTCGCGTTGTCAGCGCTTCGCTCGGTCAACGTTCGTAACGTGATCTGTATTCGCGTTACACGTTGAGCAATCATATCAAATAATATACATTTAGAATAATATATTTAATAATTCGTGTATAGCTTGTTCGGGCTATAACAATTGTAATGTGTATAATGAATGAATAATACAAAATATAAATTTATTATGTAAACATTTAAAAATTATTTCATTATTAATTACGTTCATTATTAATTACATTATTAATTAACTATTGCGCAAAACTACAAATAAACAAGATGTAAGAGCGTAAGAACGAAAATAATTGTAAAAGAATAATCTTAAGATATTATAAGGAAATATATATAATGAGATTAATAAAAAACAAAAGTTTTAATAACTTTAAGGAGAAATAATAGAAACTATCATAACTCTTAATATTTTTTTATAATCTGTAATACTAGAAATATAAATTGTGTCGCGCGGTGCAAAAAGCCGCAAGCGCTGCGACAACTTATAGTGATATTTCCATTCATTTCTTAAAGATTCAATTTTAAAAAATTATTTCATTATAAGTGGATGAATTCGAAATAAAATTGTCTTTAATTTTTATTCATAAAAGAAATTATTATAATTAATTCTCAAAAATGATATTTCGTAACGTAACTTTATTATACATGGTTGAATTTAGAAAAAAATAAACTATTAATACGGTAAAACAAAATTACAAAATTTTGAAAAAAAATGGGTGGTGAGGTTTTTTTGAAAAAAAATAAAAATAAAAATTTTTTTTCGTAACTTTACAGTACTTTTTAAGCCGTTAAACTTTTGTTTAATAATTTTTTTCTATCTCTTATAGTTTCGACGATATTCGACCCCAAAAGAAAACACCGTTTTTTTTCAAAGGGGTGTTTCACCCCCTAAATATGAAAATGGACACGTATAAAAAAATACGTATCTCTTAGATTTTTGTGAAATCTTTTTGCATGGAATCTCTGCCTCGTGTTTCTCGACACTCGGAGTCCCAACTCCTAAGACGAGCCGAACCCTTGGATCATCCCCAAAAGTCCCGTTGTACCCGGAGAGGCACAATATGTTTAACAACATATTTCAAGGAGAATTAAATCGGTTCCGGACAGTTGTGACATGTACATTGGCCAATCATGGTCATTCCTTTAAAAAATGGATCGACTGTAATTGGACAACATAGTATTTAGTACGAATTAAAGTATATTGGTGTAAACTAGGACAATGTTTTTTTACGCAGTGGATTATTTTACATTAAAATTTGAAACAACGAATATAATGTCTATTTTTTTCGATGCATTGGAATATTTTACATTAAAATGTTAATTTTTTTACGCACTAAAGTATTTTGTATTAATATCTGTATGTTACTTTTCTATGCATTGAAGTATTTTGCATTAATTTCTATATACTGGAACATTATGGAACATTAATGCTAATTTTTTTCTATGCATTGTATGTTTACTTTACACTCGTTTTCTTATGCATTAAATTAATATTTTAATTACAATATTTTAATACACACTGGAATATTAATGCTTTCTTTCTACGCATAACATTTATTTTTCATTTATTTTCATCTTGTTTATATTCATATTATTATCATTCTGCTTTTCCATATCAGATATTCTCTCAGTGTCTTCCTATTGCGAATCAGCTTCTTCATCGCTGTTTAATTTATCCTCACTTTGTTCTAATGTACTTTCAATCTTTTCATCTTCAATATTTTTTGCAGAGTTTTTGTTGATTAAAACTTTATAATATTACGTTAATAAATCTATTATTTATAGAACATGTAGAGTTAAATAAAAACACTTTTTTTGTTAAAATACTTTTACAATATTATTGATTGATCCATTTTTTTTATATTACAAACTCAAGTTGTTGGTTAAGCCTATTAGAAATTTGATTGCTTTACATGTCATTAAAATAATATATTGTAAAAAAAGAATGATATAATCCCTAAAAACTTACCTTTTTAAAAAAAGATAAAAAAAGGCGCCAAGTACATGCGCCAGTTGTGAAAAACTGTTATATGTATTTATAAAACAGTATTACTTTAATTTAATCTACACCAAATAATATTATAAATTATTGAAAATAAAAACTAGAGCTCAGAATACCCGGGTATCCGGGTACCTGCCCGTTCGCCCGTTACCCGTTATACGGATCTGGGCTGGTTCCGCGGGAACCTGCATAATTCGGATACCCGTACGATGCAGGTACCCGTATTGACGCGGGTACCCGTATTGTAGCTTTGTGGTGGTTCATCGAACCGCCACATAGAAATTCGTATCTCGTCCCTATTTCAGAACGTGGTATTAGCGTAAGAGTTATATGTGTGAGTCTCGATCTTGACGATGCGATCGTCAAAGACTGGTTCCCCGGCGATGTTTAAGATGTCGTTCATTTTGCTCAATACAAACGTGCTGTTTTCGGGACGATGAAACCTAAGGAGCGTAGGAAAGCCGCACAGGCGGCGGTCAATCTTCCGCTTTCCTTCTTTTTTTTCTTCGCGTTGAGGGGCGACGCAATGACGATGACAGGCGTGTTTCTCGTGTTTGACTCGTTCACGAGCATCGTATTCGTGCGCTTCTGTCTCGCTCTACCGTCTTCGTCGCATATGCAAACGAACCGTGATTTCCTCGCCGCGAAAATCGATCAATCGTCCATTCTGATTCATGACGCGCACATTTATGTCAGTATTTAGGTCCGCGCAATGACCGGGAAATAAATGATCTGCTCCGGGATCTCCGACACCTTATATCCAAGTGGAACGTTGGGCGCGAATTCGTGTTTCGTATGTGCGGATTTTTCATTGTAATACGCTCTCGTCGTGATGTTGCATTCTACGCGAATAATGTTAACGGCCGTAATATGTATTCGGTTGTAGTATACGAGACAATGAGAAATCCAATAGCGAAACGATGTTGTCGGGTTTGGTAAAATTTGCTCGATGCACGCACTTAATCTCCCTTCTCATGGTATTATCATTACCGCGAAGCGCTATGGAACGTTCATCTTTATCGTCTTCATTGTTCTCGTAATAGCCGTCGTACTCATCGACGTTGTACATATAATCACCATCACCGTCATCACCGTTATCGTTGTCATCATCACTCGTTCTTCGTTTTTCACCCCCCTCCTTCCGCTTTTCTTCTCTCGCTCGTCGTCGTTTGCGACGAATCGCGGCTCTCAGATACGCGCTTATAGCGCTTAACTCGTAAGATCCGACAGGAATTACGATAACCTCATCGTTATCGTCGAAGTAAAATTTATTATTCGTAGAATTTACACTTGGTATCATATTGTAAGTCTCGAAATTGGTAAGACCTAATTCGTAATCGTCATCACTTAAATTTAGGGACGGAAAGTAGCTTGCTGTGAGCACACTACTTGGTCCGGATAATGTGAGTCAGCGACATGATCGGCAAGAGTGGACGAACCGCGATCGATTGCACTCGGTCGATTGCACTCGATCAATAAACGATAGCTGTTGTTATAGTATAACGATAGCTGATGTTATAGTAGAAAATTCGAAGGAATCTTTAACATGATTTTTTAACGGGAATTGGAAAATTCAACGTCGTAATTGAATAGAAACGCGAACGAACTGTCGAAGAGGGTGACGGGACTAACGAAGCGTCGCGAGAAAAGCGATGACACTCGAATTAGAACAATTGATTCGTTATCGAGAGACAATAAAGCTCTGGATAAACGAATAAGCGATTTGGAAAAAATCGCGGTGTCGCGCGCGGTAAAATGATCGAAACACGAAGACTGGTGGAGGAATTACACGCGCCCGTGAGAAGAAATTTCCCACGTCGTCGCATCGCGGTGCGCGGGTACGACGGCCTATGGCAAGCGGATGTGGTCGAGATGTGATGCATCCTTACGCAAAACGCAAAGGTCACAATTACATACTCACCGTTATCGACGTGTTAAGTAAATACGCGTGGGCTGTATCGCTCAAGAGCAGAAGCGCTAGCGAGGTTGCTCGAGCGTTATTTAAGATAGTGCGAGACTCTAAGCGATGTCCAAAAATTTTGCAGACGGACAAAGAAAAGGAATTCTACAACGCCGAACTGCGAAAGTTCGCGGAAAAATATGGAGTAAATCATTATTCGATGAAAGCGTCGATCCTCGAGCGATTTAATCACATGCTCAAGAACTCTATGTGGAAATACTTCACTTGAACGGAATGTACAAGTGGATCGACCCGTTGGAGAGTACAATGCACGAAAACATCGCACTATCAGTATGAAGCCTATCGACGTAACTCCCGCAATTGCCAATAAACTTTTAAATACAATATACAGTAACATAAAGATCGCAGCTCCGGCGAAATTCAAAATACTGATCCGGTATGCATCAGAAATTTTAAGACGATCTTCGAGAAAGGTTTCACGCTAATAAGACCACCGAGATTTTTCGAATAGCTAAGGTACAACGAATCCCATGACGTATTTAGTGAAGGATTTACGGAAAGTGCTGCACGTCTTCGATCCCGACGTATATCTCGTTGAAAAGGCAACGAGGTTTATGTGAAATGGTTGGGAATGGACGCATAATTCCTGGATAAATAAAGCAGCTACATTATGATGAAAAATGTATTTTATTTAAAAAATATTTTATTTAAAATGTATTTTATTTAAAA